AGCTTGTAAGTAATGGCATTATTGAGTTCAGTATTAATTAATGAGACATAAAAAATTTTCATATTATGCTAAAGTTATTATTGGCTTTGTCAATTTTGGTAATTATGAACTTTTTGTTTTAAATCCTGTAAAAGAGGTATGAGAATATTCCACTGTAATTACTATTAAATATTCATTTTTCTTTTCTTCGAATTTTTTGCTTGAATTCTTCTAATACTGCATGTTTCCATGCCATAAAGGTAGAATTGGAATATTTAATTTGAACTAGTTTTAACTATAAATTCGTCTATATTTTTTACGAAACTTTTAAAACTGTGATGTTTGTTAATTTTTAGTACTGGTCTAAATTTGGTACCTTTTTCCATTAAAATTCTTAAATGTTGGTTTTGAACTATTGCTAAATTGCCTGTTATAATATGTTGATGAAATTTATCTATGAAATCTTTGTATTGAAGCTCTTTACAGTATCAATGGGCTGTAGTAGCTAATTCATGGTGGTTAATACATTCTGCACCGAAAAAGGGAGTGACAGCTCCATATCTTCCCTTCCAGTGGGACAACTGAAGAAATTTCATTTGTGCTTTTCATGCTTCTAAAGCGTGACTTAGGATGTATATTATGTTTATGTATAAAACTATTCTAACATAGGTATTTCGAAACAAAATGGTTTTTTTTTTCTGAAATGATGCACCCATTTGTTTTCCATATCTCGAATCTACGACTTAAGTTATGCCTACGCAATAAATTTTGTAAAATTTGGAGAGAAATTCAAAAATTTATCTTGGCGCACTTTTTGCAATTTTCACCAAAAATAATTCACTTGGCGAAATTGTTAATTTATACTAATTTATACTATTTTTCTCTCCCTTTCATTGTGCACGAGCAGAAAGAAAGAAGCATAGTTCATTCTTTCAAGTAATGTTTAACAAAGTGCGAAAAGCAGATTTGACGTTATTATCGCTTGTAACAAATATGCCAAATTTCAAAACTCGCCAAAATATAATTCATGTAAATATTGAGAAAATTTGAAAAAAAAAAAAATACTCTCTAATTTTCTGCAGGTTCGATGTATTTATTCCTATAAATACATAGACTTTAAGGTGATATTAAAATTAATGATATTAAAATCGGTTACAATTCAAACATTATTTCGAAAATTTATAACCATTACTAAAAATACAAATTTAAAATATAAATCAAGAAGTACCTGCTAATTTTTTTGCGATTGAACCTAAATTTTGAACTGTGAAGAAGGAATTAAATTTAACAAAAAAAAAAAAAAAAAAAAAAAAAAAAAAAAAAAAAAAAAGGTGTGATATGAATAAATATATACCGAATTCAATTAAAAGTTTTTTTTTTTTTTCGAATGGCGGGCGCAGGTTGTTAGAAGTATTGGCTACTACTATGGCCGGAAGCGGTGGTCACTTTATTATAGAGGCACCTAGGTGGGCCACTGTTGCTTCCTATGAGGAGACAGGCAATTTACATCCATGCTTTCTCTGGGAGTCGAACCCGGGCCTTTAAGTGCAACAGTCGGAGTCACTTACTACATTCCCGTCTGGGCGGTGGTTCAATTAATACTGAGGAGCTAAAATTTTAAGAGCTAATTTTCTAAAAACTACTGGTGCGATTTTTACAAAACTCGGCTCTTTGGAAAAATTTTAGTCATGGAATCGAAACATGGAAAACAAATCGGTATATTACTTGACAAAAAGTCCGACTATATGCTAAAATACCTATATTAGAACAATGCTGTATATAAATTTAATGTATTGTATTCCATAAGAGAAAACTGATTTTAATTGTTGTACAACTTATTAAATAGTATGTAGTTTATTCAGCTGATAAAATATTAAATGAGAAAAATATAAATGAGAAAGGTTGTAATTTAATTGTAGTAATAGAAAATTGACGTACACTGCAGGAAAAAAAAAGGGGAGGACAGTTCTATATCTCCCGTTCTAGTGCGCTAATTGACGAAATTCAACTTGCGTTTTCCATGCCTCGAAAGTGCCACTTAGGATACGACTTAGGATACGTAATATACGTAATTTTTTTATTACTTCTAATATAGGTAATTTTATACGTATTGTAATATTACCTATATTAGAAGAATGTATTAGCATTCTTCTAATATAGGTATTTTCACAAAAAATCAGACTTTTTCTGAAACGACATGCCAATTTTTTTTCCAAATTTTGATTCTGTGACTGAAATTATACCAAACTGCCAAGATTCGTAAAAATCGCACTAGTAGTTTTTAAAAAATTAGCTCCCAAACTTTTAGCTCTTCAATGGTAATTGAATTTGATATATATTTATTAATATATCTTTTTATTAAATTTATTTGATTCTTTCTTTCATATTTAGAAATTAAGGTTCATTCCAAATAAAATTCACCCATTTTCCATAATTTATTTTTAAAATTTGCATTTTAAAATAATTTTCATAATTTTTTTTAAAAAACTTTCTCCCTTTTTGCTCTGCCGATTGACGAAACTCAAATTGAGTTTTTCATGTCTGAAAAGCGCGACTGAAAATGGGTATGTTATTTCAGAAAAAATTCGATTTTGTGTCAAAATACCTATGTTAAAAAAATGCTGTATATAAATCTAATATATATATCCTAAGACATGAAAAACGCAATTTGAATTTCGTCAATCGGCCCAGTAGAACGGGAGATACTGGACTGTTCCCTTTTTTTATTATTTATTTTTCCCGCGGTGTACGTGCCGTTTATGGTATTGAATGTTTGATTTAAAAATGCACTGCGTTCTGTAAGTCAAAATAACAATCATTCTACAGAATTAGTATAAAAATCTTATCAAATTAGGATATTACAATAGACAAAATTTTAAACATCAATAATAATCCAATCATCCCTTTCACTATGACCGATTCTCTCTTCTCAATCTGGTGGAGGATTTCAAAGTTTCAGGAGCAGAATGCAGTCAGCTTTTGATTTATTTGTTAAATAGTTTGTTTTAATTTATGAATATAAAACTACCTTTTATTCAAATTTCGGTAGTTATCAACATTTTCTGTTCTCTTTGCTGTTTAGTAAAACCACGTTAAAAATAATCTACATAAACATATACACTGAAGTGACGAAAGTCATGGGATACCTCGTAATATTTTGTCGGTCCTCCTTTTGCCCGGCGAAGTGTAGCAACTCGACGTGGCATGGACTCAACAAGTCGTTGGAAGTCCCCTGCAGGAATATTGAGCCATGCTGCCTCTATAGACGTCCATAATTGTGAAAGTGTTGACGGTGCAGGGTTTTGGGCACGAACTGACCTCTCGATGATGTCCCATAAATCCCATAAATGTTCGATGGGATTCATGTCGGGCGATCTAGGTGGCCAGATCATTCCCTGGAATTGTCCAGAATGTTCTTCAAACCAATCGCGAACAATTGTGGCCCGGTGACATGACGCATTGTCATCCATAAAAATCCCATCGTTGTTTCAGTACGTGAAGTCCATGAATGGCTGTAAGGGATCTCCAAGTAGCTGAAGGTATTCATTTTCAGTCAATGATCGATTCAGGCACCAGAGGACCGAGTCCATGCCATGTAAAAACAGCCCAGATCATTATGGAACCACCACCAGCTTGAACAGTGCCTTGTTGACGACTTGGGTACATGGCTTCGTGGGGTCTGCGCCACACTCGAGCCCTACCATCAACTGAATCAACTTACCAACTGAAATCGTGATTCATCTGACCAAGCCACGGTTTTCCATTCGTTTAGGGACCAATCGATATGCTCACGAGCCCACGAGAGTCTCTGCAGGCGATGTCGTGCTGTCAGTAAAGGCACTCGAGTCGGTCTTCTGCTGGCATAGCCCAAGGAAGACAAATTTCACCGCACTGTCCTATCAGACACGTCCCTCGTACGTAGCACATTGATTTCTGCGGTTATTTGACGCAGTGTTGCTTGTCTGTGAACATTGACAACTCTACGCAGACGTCGCTGGTCTCGATCGTTAAGTGCAGGTGGTCGGCCACTGCGCTGTCCATGGTGGGATGTTATGCCTGAAATTAGATACTCTCGGCACACTCTTGACACTGTGGGATCTCGGAATGTTGAATTCCCTAACGATACCCATGCGCCTAGCTCCAACTACCATTCAAAGTCTGTTAATTATCGTCGTGCGGCCATAATCACGTCAAAGCCTCTTCACATGAATAACTTGAACACGAATGAAAGCCCTGCCAAAGCACTTCGCATTTATACCATTTTCTACGCAATACTACTGCCATCTGTATATTTGCATACTGTTATCCCATGACTTTTGTCACTTCAGTGTATATATTGAGTTTTTGGAAAGGCAGTGGGAGAATAATCTTCCAGCAATGCTGAAAGGGATACATGAAACAAAACAGTTTGAGAATCACTGCCTTAAATCTTATGATAAATCGACTTGAAAATAAAGGCATAAATTTAGAAAGAGGATTATAAGGTAATGAAAATGCTGCTGTTGTCTGGCAATAGGTGGTTGGCAAAAATAAAAGAATAAATTAATTGTAAGGTAATTAATTAACTTTATTTTAATGCATTAGTAAAGGAAATTATTATTTGAATAGAAAAATCAAGACATGTCAATGAAACAATTTATAACGTATTCTGTAATATTTTTTACTTCATGCGTAATAATTATTTTCAGCATTTAAAATTATTATTCGCTTAGAACATTTCAGAAAATTAAATTTAACATTTTTTCTCCTAAGCTTTTATGGCTACATTATTTGCTATTTAATTTGCGACAAACTTACTATTTTAATAGAGTAAAAATAAACCTATACGTCGGATATGCTAATAAATTAATACGCCGCATCATCTACTTTTGTATTTTTAATATATCACTTTGATTAAACCAATTTCTCTGATTGGTAATCGCTATATAATCATGTTCTCCAAGATGACCATCTGTACAGAAGACCAAAATTGGTTGGCACACTATATTCCAGCACATTTGAGTTAAGAAAAAGGTTCTAACCTGCATCTCCACTGTAATCTGCAATATGAAGGGTGTACTTGTGGTCTTCATCATCAATCCAGAAGGTGTCATATAGAGCATAACGTTTGCTGCCTTCCACATCCTTTAGGTCAAATCGGACTGAATACAACCGTTGGTTAGTCAGAGCAAAAATGTTGTCATTACCTAAAAATATATGATTAGAAATTAAGTTGAACTTAATATAGACTATCTCTTCTCATATATAGGCTGTCCAGAAGAAAGAACCCCATTTCAAAGCTATCTACATTAGAAATCACCCACAAGAAAATTGTGAAATTTTGTAGCGGACTTAACGAAAGGATAGGAAAGTCTTTCAACGAAAGCAGAAATCCTACAAATATCGCCGCCAGGGGCTTTGTATTAATGAATTACACATTTAGCCCCACTTTACAACAGTTTCTTAATTTTATAAATTTGTAAAACATGTTCTACATGATAGCCATCATTTTCAGCTGTTATCTGAAATCGCTAGATGGCATGTTCCACAGTTGACCGAAGTGCGCTCTGGGAAATGCTGAGCACGTAGCGTGATATACTGGCTTTATGATCAGGTGGAGTTCTGGAATTTTCACAACTTACCAGATGTTTCAAACGCCCCGAAAACCAAAAATCGCATGAATTGAAATCTGGGGACTGGGAAGTCCACATGTTACAAAAGTGCCTCCTGATGACAATTTCTTCTGTAAAATGACTTTTAAGAACATCCGTAACAATTCATTCTTGCAATGTATGGAGATTTAAGTTTTTGAATTTTATGGTTTAAGTGCGAAGAACATGATATTTAATGAATAAAAGTAACACAAAAAAAAAGGTCCTTTTGGGCGTAATGTAAAGTCTGAAAGCTTTCAGAATTTTTAAAATTCTAATTGTTTTACATTTTTTCTGCTGAAAGATATTTTTATTATTTCGTTATGTCCGCCACAAAATTTATTGATTTTCTGGTGACTAGTTTCGCTCATAGGCCAGCTTTAAGGGGGCTCATACACCTTAAACCCCTTATGATCTTCGAATATGTGCTGTTGTAAGAATTGGAATATTATACTTATTTCAAAAACAATTACTTCCAACTTTTTGCAGCTGACTACATAATATAGCTGCTTTGGAAATTAGTAACCAGAAAGTTTGTGTCGCCACAAATATTTTTGTAATATTATCCGCTTTGTGACAACATTTTTCGTCATGTTTCCACCTTGCGCGCATGATATTTAAAAAATGGCTATGGTACATACTTGAAATTTTATGGAATTTTTTATATGGATAGTATTTTCTAACTGAACCTAAAATTTGATGAATATTTTAATATTAAAAAATTTTATGGACGAAAATATTACAGACTTTTTTAATAAAACACATTTTATAAACTCAACTCCAAATAAAATAAAAATTTAACATGAAATTCTTAGAATTTTTGGTTGACAGTAGTTTCCAATTGTTATAAAAGAATGTTTTAAACTGTGCGCGCAAGGTGGAAACATGACGAAAAATGTTGTCACAAAGAGGATTAAATTATAAAAATATTTGTGGCAACACAAAACTTTCTGATTACTATTTCAAAAAGCAGCTATATTATGTAGTCAGCTGTAAAAGGTTGGAAGTAATTGCTTTTAAAATAAATAAGTTATCACAATTCTTGCAACAATCACATATTCGAAGGTCTTATGGTTTTTAAGGTGTATGAGTTCCCTTATAGGATTCTTTAATTATAGACATACTGTACATCTAAACCATTTTCTAACCAGTGAAAGTAAGCCTTGCACCGGAGTCGAGTTTGTACATCTTGTACAAACTCGACTCTGGTGCAAGGCTTGGCTTTATGTGTATTGTCCTTTCGCCCTCATGAAAATGTAATATCTGTGTCCGGCACTGTTATACGTTGGACACCGCTAATGTTAAATGACAAGTGATTTCGGCTGTTTTTAACGATTTCTAGTCGTTAAAAAGAGATGAGTAAAATACACTTTTCGAATCTGTTGCGGTTCAGTGAGATGAAAATCTGAGTTTGTTCCCGTCGTAAGATAAGTTTTATGAATACTTCCACTTGTTAGAAAACGTTTTAGATTTGTGAAACTCCCTCAATTTGGATAGCTCCTTAAATATGAGCAAAATGTTTTCTGCTATAGATGGACTTTCAATACCTTCTTTCATTGTATTTTCGAATTAATGGAGTTACATTACGTATTTTTCGAGCTTTTAAGTTTGCGCTTTAATTCTGAGCAGCACTAATTACTGCTCATAGCCTCCTTTAATATGCAATATATGCTCAAATATTCGTTTATCTTAATGGAAATAAAAGGTGCTCGAATATTGAAAGAAATAAAACAATGATACAATGTGATCTCAAATCACTTGAAAACTTACCTAACCAAAAATCTCTTTCAATGTCACCAAATCCTTTTTTGTAACTTTGCCAATCTTTGTAAAAGTAATCGTTTGGTCTCATGAAATTGCCTCGTCTTTGTATAACCTAAAAAAGTTGAAAGTTTTTGTTAAAAATTGCTTTTTAAAACGTTAATTGAAAAAAAGAAAAAACTCAAATCTTCTAAAGGTCAAATTTTGTTGCTCGAAATTTCATGAATGTTGCGAAATGCCTATAGAGGGCGCTGTACCTTGTCTGTTTCTTCAGTGTAGGATTAGAATTTGTATTAATGGAGATGTGCTTAACTTGCATTTGTTGTTGTGTTTTAAACTGAGTTTTTTATCACCTATTATTTATAAACCTGAACCACCAAAAGAAACGAAATTCACAATGTTGATAGTTACAACTCTATTGGATTAGCATATTTCACAATGAATGCTTATTTTTGATTCCGGATATTTAATTGTTCTTGAAAATTAAGAACTTATATCATTTTTCACTATTGAAAATGACTTCAGGAATGTAGAAACTCTATTGGTATGGTGATAGAGGAGCCGGCTTCCATGTTCTTGGATGTGGCTTCAAATTTCGGAGAAGGCAAGGACGTTTATAAGTGCAGATTGTCTTTGTGGCACAGACGCATTTAAATACTATCGAATGGAAAGTCCACTCGAAAAGAGGAATAAGCGGTAGAAGATCCTGAGATTCTTTTTTGGGGTTCCTTCGTAAAAACTGGAACGTATGTGGACAAGACGTACTGTCACCTAAGGTATACAAGGCCTAGGAAATAGATTTTTAACATTTGGCCACGATAAAATTCACGTCTGAGATTCAGAACAGGAAGACGGGTAACGACAAAAATAGCACTTCAGGAATATAGCACGCATGACTTTTGTTCATATTTTTTTTTCTTTCCATTGGCAGGCTGTAGCCTTTTATAGGCGTTGACCATTACTAAGGCCCGAAGCGGTGGTCCCTTTATTGTGGAGGCACCTAATAGGTAGGCCACCATTGTCTTCTACGAAGAGACAGACAAATTACATCTATACCTTGTCCGAGATTCGAACCCGAGCCCTTCGCTACGGTCGTCTGAGTCACTAATCACTTTCCAATCAGGGCGGCACTTTCTTCATATTCTTGACAAAGAAATTACTGTAAAGATTAACTCAGGAGCTCATTAAGATTTCAACTAATAATGCCTTGATTTCTATCATTGTTAGTGTTTCTGTTTGAAAAGGTTTAATTAGCTGAAGTTTTGATAGTTAATCTTTACAGCTCTACCCGACGAGACGGCTAATTAAACCTTTTCAAACAGAAACACTAACAATAATAGAAATCAAGGCATTATTAGTTGAAATCTTAATTTGAGGCTCAAGCGTTTTTGACCTGGAATACCTCCGTGCCCTACTTGAATAATTATTCTCAAACTGAACCATATTTTTCAACTGTTTGTCAGGACTCGTATGTCTTGTTTAGGGAATATGATGTGTCCTGAATAGGAACAGGGAGCTTACTCAAGCTATGTTCAAGTACGTGTGGAATGGACGAACACAAGCAGGAAGGGTTTACTTTACCCTTTATACTCTAGGAGATTACAGGTGTTCCCGCACTTCGGGATACAGAGACCAACCACTTGTGGTCTGAACGTAAGAATATAAAACTACTAACTAAAATTCTAATTGAGAGCTAACTTTGAATTAGTTTACAAATGCCTAACACTAAGACTGGCCTTTTAAAAGGTTACGTAGGTAGTACGCAAACTGCCGAAACTACAATACGTTTTAAATAACAAGAGGACTAAACCTCTGGCCTTAAAGGCAAGCAGCAACTAATTGAAAACTCGTACAGAATTCATTGGCAGGGCGACTCACCTTTCCTCTCTCTCTCTCTCTCTAACTCTTGGCAAAAAGCCACAACTTAAATACTTGGGCGTTAGCAAGTAGAATTTGCATAAACAAGTTAACACATTTAATTCTGGCCGGAAGTGGAAAATAAGAAGTGCTAGTGCAGTTTTAAAATAAAATAAACGTTAGTAAAACTTAAGATCCTTACATGTTGTTCTGTGTACCGAGAGTTTCTTTTTTGTTTATAAACTGTTGTATGTGGCTTATTTTTATGCTATGGTTCAGAACTTTAATAGAAACTGCTCATGAACTTAGAGAAACATAACCGATTTGTACAGTACGTGTCTTCGTCTCGGAATTTCTGAAACCAGCCACTATATGACTTTTCGTAAACTGTATCCTCTCCATATACTTGACCAATTCTCCAGCAAGCAAGTATTTTCTTTATTAAACTTATACAGTAAACAGCTTCTGAGGTGATACTTATAACTTTCGTTTAAAGCTGCAACCCATGGATTGCTCTAATATAACTCAGTGTATTTATATACTTTATCACCTCACTTTGTGTTGGTAAAAGATTTCAGTCAGTCAATATCATTTTGGATTAAGTTATTCATAAAAATTTTGCCTCTAAAAAATGAGTAGAATCGCATTTTGCACTTATCCAATACAATGCATATAATAACACAGATTTTCCTTTTTCATATTGAAAATTTCAATTAATTTCACAATTATTCCGTGTTGATTTTGAAAATACTTGATTGAAACGCATATTTAATTTGCAACAAATCTTCTTCATTAATATGGTTATTTAATTTGCAACAAATCTTCTTCATTAATATGGTTAATTAAGTTAAAACAATTCATTTCTACTCCGTACGGCTTTAACAACTACCTACTTAAGCTGACTACGTAAAACGTCTTCGCTCATTCTTTCCTTAAAAAATTTCAGCTTCATTACTTTTCCTGATGCATTACTTAAATTTTTTGATGGGAGAGAAACTGTACTGAATTTATAAAGCAATATGAATACATAATGCCCATTTCATATTGAATGCGAAATACAAATGTCATATTTTGTTTTATGCTTTTATGAAGTCTCAGGCAACTGCTGTATTTCATGTACAGTGTGAAACGTATTAAAATAATAATTTCAGATCATATTGAAACGAGTAATCGTTTCCGCTAAGAGACTTTAATTAATACAGATAACGAATATTTATGCATTCAAACATAAGAACTCGCTGATTATTGATAATCATTTAATATCTTGCTGTATATTCACAGTATAAAAGCAATTAATTTCAAAAGGATTTTTAACCCAAAGGAGCGTTAGCTAAGAATGGCTATTAATTTCGTTTTGGTATTTTGCCTAGATTCACTTTCTGCGTTGATTCACTTTTCAAACCGTTTCCAATTATTACAGCCCTGTATTATATTTAAAGACATTAAATAATGAAGAACCTGCATAAATGTATGTATATTTCTCGCATTTTCATAAACAACGGTATGTAGAGCCATCCAAGTTTGAATAACGTAATCCTCCTCCGAATATGGGCATCTGGAAACCCAAATTTGAAATTTGGAATTCGTTTTATTGCCGGTTTCATATTTTGTAACACTTAAAGAAATTTTTGATGAAGAAACTCGATGATTTCAAAGCGAGCAATGGCAACACTGTACGGTGGGGAAAAAAATCATTTTTATCTCCAGCGCGCGAGACTGTGTATCGGAAATTCTAAAGATATGCGCCCCCCCCCCCCCCCCCCATTTAAAAATAATTTTGCGATATTGCTATTGAATTGAATTTTATGGTTTAAGTGCAAGGAACATGATATTTAATAAATAAAGGTAACACAGGAAACGTTAAAAAAGCGCCCTTTTGGGCGTAATATAAAATCTGAAAGGGTTCAGATTGGTTAAAGTTTTTTTAGTTATAATTGCTAATTTTTTTAGATCTAAAAGACCAAAGCTTCAGCGCGCATAGTATTGGAAAAAAATTGAGGCATTGAAATTTTATTTGTGCTGCAATTTTCTGGATGTAATTCTGCAATATATTTGCTCAGGTTTTATACTTCTTGTTTTTATTTTTTATTCATACCTACGATAACTTCTTTTCCAATGGAAGATTATTTTTAAGTTTACTTCTTTTTAGATTGGTTTCTTTCTCATAGACACCTCCTTTCATAGCAAACATAAACTTGCCAGAGATTTTACGAAAGAAATCTTGAATACTGTTAATAGCAATAAAGACCGAACTGGTACTGAGATTTAGAAGAGAAACTTGGATAATGGAAATTATTAAAAATGAACTTAACTTGCTTGTTACTGCAAGATGGAATTGAAATCTTTGTGAAAGTTACGGAACTACTTCCTGTGTCCACCAGATGGAATGGGATATGCATGTGCTTGTGTTCTGTGTTGTGATTTTATTCAGTTTACTAATTTTTTTTTTTTTTTTTTTTTTTTTTCCATTTTATTTGAATCCTTAAATCTGGTGGGCTCTTCAGCTTTTCAACGGAATCACTAACCATATTTATGATTTTGTTAACTTTTTTTGTTACTCGGAGCTCAGATTTGGTTCTTCTGAACCTTTAAATCTAATGCTTTTGATAATTTTTGTTTACTTTTCTTTTGGGGGTTAGCACATGTTTTATTGGTGCACTGCCGAGTCGTTATCTGCCTCGTTTGTTATTTGGACAGGTCAGTCCTTCTCTAGTTATAAGGTCGGTCTGCCAGCTAGATTGGTTAGGGTTGAGCCTTTTTTTTTTTTTTTTCTTTTGGTGTGTGTGTGTGTGTGTATGAAACCTCCTTCTGCCTACAGCATCATCTTATCCAGACCTTTAAATCTATCTTTCCTCCTTTTAAGTAGATTGCAGCTTTAGTTCAACCAAGATTAAATTTCCTATTTATTTTTACTTCCTTGTACAAAGTAAAAAGGAAGTATTGTAATCGCGAAAAGTTTCAGGCAGCATATTTCAACGCAAATATCCATTATCGCTATCGAATCCGCTATCGAATGCAATTTAAGGAAGTTTTTGCATGACATCTGTACGTAAGGACAGAATAAAGAACTCTTTTCTCACAAAAAAGTTATAAAACTAATTTAAAATTAACTCTGAAAAGAATGTTTTGTGGAGTCTGTGCGTACGTACGTATCTCGTATAACTCAAAAACGAGTAGCCTCAGAACGTTGAAATTTTGTATATAGGACTGCTATAACATGTAGATGTGCACCTCGTATTTTGGTTGCAATCGGCCGCACCAAAAGTATATAAGTCTGTGTATCCACTCTGTTACTCGGCTCAGTGATATCAGTTTCTTTATTCTTATATGTTTGCAAATTGTGCATTTTTTGCTTTAAAAATGATTGAATTGTGTTGTTCTTATCTCTTGGTTAAAGTTTTTATGCCTTTAGTAAATTTGCAAGCAATATTTGTAGAATTATCAACAATTTAAAAGTTGTTTAAGTGCGGCTAAGCCTAATTATTTTTGCCATGGCAGCCGTATTTGTTTACATTTGAAACTTGACAGAATAGTGATTTGTTGCTAATCTAGAGAAAGAAAGATTCACAACAATAAAGATAACGCCTTTTTTTATTTTTGCGAATTAAATGATGCTTAATCCATTCTGGAATTTATTCGAGGAAATAAGTTTTTAAGATTTATTTCGTAATTTTTAATATATATATTTTGAGTTTTTTCGTATTTCAGCCTTGTAGAGAAGTGAGCCCTTAATTAATTGAATGAGAAGTACTGAATCAACTGTAAGAAACTGTTTCTTTTTCTTTCTTTCTTTCATTTTGGGGGGAGGGATGTTTAATTTCTTTTATACATCGTTTTAGATTTATTATAATATTAGGCAACGATTAAATAATTCTTCAGGTGATATAAATTTTGTGCATTTTGAGTTATAAAATGAATGAAATGTCACGTTGTTAAGGGAACTTAGCGTAGCGTTACCATAGTGTCACTATGTGTGTGTACATAGTGTACATGTGTGTGTACATGTGTATGTACATAGTGTCACTATGGTACAAAAATGTAGTAAATTTTAATAAGTGCATTTATTCTCTTAGAGTGCACTATCGACGAAGTAGATTTAATTTAATCCAATAGGTTTAAATGAAATGCAAGAAAAATTGCATCTAATTTAATATTTCATACAAGGAAGTCATGTGGTGTACACATCAGATTTTTTACGTATTAATTTCCTAATTCTTGACTTATACATGAGAAATATATGCATTAGAAAATTTAGGTTTCTTGAATATAGTAAAGCATTCGAAGGCTACTTACTTAACGAGAGGGTGGCCTTCGTGGAGGATTATATAAGGGAAACTGGCTCGTATTATTTTGTTCATCATATACACAGTATTCATTTTCAGTATAACATAGATTAATAAGTTTATAATTAAGGTAGTTTGAAGATTTGAAATTATCTATTTTAAAACATATGGGAATTAAATAAGAATGTTAACTTACGATCCATCCGCCACCATCAGTTACCATATTGCAGTAAACGTCAAGGGACTTATCTTCGGTCACTCTGCTTTTAGGCCAGATAGTATACACACCGCTTTTGTTATAACCAGCTCGGAAAAGCTCTGCGCAGTCCATGGAGCTTGAAGAATTTCTACTTATTTCTTGACCTAATGCCGTGAACAGAAACAACAAAAGTGAAATATTATTTCAAGTGACTAACATTTTGTTTCATAATGACAATTTTTATTTAGACCATATGAACTTTTAGTCCTACACTTTATTGGGGATTAAAGAATGCAATCAAAACAGTTACATAGAGGTAAAACAACCCTTTTGTCTTCATGAATTTATTAAGTATATTAATAAAATTCAAAATTCCAATTGTTCCGCTTATAACATGCAGAACCTTCAATCAGGTTTAATGAAACTTAAAGAAAGCGGGCCAACATTGAAGAGAAATATTAAACAGAACATTAAAATTAAAACACAAAATATTTGATTACATACGAGCATTTAAAAAAAAAAAAAAAAAAACAGTATTTAACTGATGCGCATGCTTGAAATACATATGAACTTTTTATCTTTTATATAATTTAATAATCAATTAGTCTACTCATTTTAAAGGCGGCTCAACTCTTTATTGATTTTGACATCAAACATGTGTTTTATGGTCAAGCATTTTTCACATCACTTATATAACAACAGAGACATTTTTTTGCTTATTTGCAAAATACGAGACTAGTTCTTTTACAGCAAAAGGGTGCTCGAAAAGTCAGTAAAATGGCGAGTTGTGGAACATCCCTTATCATCCAAAGGTATTTAAAAAAATTAACTACGGTAGACTAACACGATATTCACATGGACATTTTATTTTAATTGCCATCTATAATTAGCTGCCAAAATATTTTAGAAAAAGTTTAATATATTTTGCTTTCTTTAAATGGGTTGTAATAAGGGCTCAATTTCTTTAAATGGTTGTAATAAGGGCTCAATTTCTTTAAATGGTTGTAATAAGGGTAGACTAACACGATATTCACATGGACATTTTATTTTAATTGCCATCTATAATTAGCTGCCAAAATATTTTAGAAAAAGTTTAATATATTTTGCTTTCTTTAAATGTTTGTAAATGGGCTTCAATTTCTTAATGGTTGTAATAAGGGCTCAATTTCTTTAAATGGTTGTAATAAGGGTAGACTAACACGATATTCACATGGACATTTTATTTTAATTGCCATCTATAATTAGCTGCCAAAATATTTTAGAAAAAGTTTAATATATTTTGCTTTCTTTAAATGGTTGTAATAAGGGCTCAATTTCTTTAAATGGTTGTAATAAGGGCTCAATTTCTTTAAATGGTTGTAATAAGGGCTCAATTTCTTTAAATGGTTGTAATAAGGGCTCAATTTCTAAAATTAAAAGTGCCGGAGCCCTATGGAAAACCGTCAGCAAAGGGAAACAAAACTAAATAAATAAAACAGCTATTAAAATCACTAATAATTTAAAAATTAAGTAGTTGATAATTATCAAATTAATTCAGAATTGCTTAATTAATATTTATCCCATTATTTAATAATTGTTTAATTAAAACTTTAATTATTATTTAAATTATAAGGTAATTAAAAATTAAAATTTAATAAAATGTTGTAAGGATAATGTTAATTTTTTAACAGTTAAATTTTGAGTTAAAGTTCCTTTCCTGTCGATTCTTAACTTCAACTACTACTTCCGGCCAGAACTAGTTTTAGAATCACGGAACATAATGAGGAAAAGCGTATTTAACCGCGAAGTTTTGGTCTTAGCGAGGGGCGATACCAGGTATTCTGGCGCACGTGTCCGCTTTTAAGCTACTCTCTCGTAAGTATCACGTTCGGCCTCGAGTCGATTAATTATGGGGCCCACTCCAAGAGTTTTCTCTTAGACCTTTTGGTTAGATTAGTTATAATTAGTCTATTAAAGTTCAAAGCTCAAGTGTCGGTTTATTGTCCAAGACGGAGTTGTAACTTTAGTTATACAAAAAAAATACACGAATGACACATCAATCATTTCCTGTCCATTTCCTCATTTCTTTCATTACAGAATGATAAAAAATACTTCTCTTCTTAATTATTCTCTGTTGGTCCCATTAATGCACTTAGGACTGAATGTTTTTTAGAAAACAAGAATTCAAGACTTATTGTTATTATTATTCAATTATTATGTGAATAAAATTTTTCAAAATGATACCACTAACGTTTGCAATAGGAAGTGTATAAGAATTGCTGAATAGTCAAAACGAAGTGGTGTTTCATATAGTACTTATACAACATGTACTCTTGGCACATCTTTGCATAACGTGAAAGCTTCTTCGTGAGTAAAATCTTTGCTCCTGATGAAGAAGGGAATATTTCTTATTGCTCTCGAAATTGTAAGAGTTTTATTCAAAGTCTATACATATCTAAGTTTGCTTTTTTGCTTAGTTTAAATTTTACGTAATAAATATGTCACATTTTTAATAAAATAAATTTAAAGAAATAAAATAGAACAGATTTCTATTCGTGCTAAAAAAAAGGTCCCGTGATACTCTTATAACTGATGTTTTCAGTAGTACCTGATATGTATAACTGAGACCAACCCAAATAATACACGTTATTCATTTTACTATTCTCGTCTTTTATGACGAAATATGGTTCACTTACATGTAGGATAGTTTTCTTTCGCTTTTGAAATCATCTCTGTTGCAACATCTAAGTAAGAATACGACTTTTCCTTTTGTCCACACATGGATGTGATATTCTTGTTGTCCTGTCCGTAAACCACTTCCAAGAAAACAAGAAGGACCGAGAAGTAGTACTTTATCCTGTAAAAGATAAGTATATCAGTACATTTTGCACCTGCGTATTAAATGTGCACCGGTGGAAGAGCTTTATATAGGTGGGTTACGTTTCGGTCAATCAGTTTATAAGGTTATTCTCCCGCTTTTCTAGCGTGCCTTCGTGGTGTAGTGGTTCTGCACACTGGGCCGGTATTTCAGAGGTCCGCGGTTCGATTCCCGGCGTTGCTAATTTTTCGTAATTTTTCGTAATTTTCGTAAATTAGCGTTGCTAATTTTTCATCTCTCCGGCTTCCAAAAAGCGTAATCTCTTTTATGAATAATATATGGAAGCACCACACAAGCAAATCGTTAACGTTGAGATATATTCTGTTTTTAAAGACACTGAGTTTTCAAAGAAATGTTTCAGGTTTTTTTTTTTTTTTAATATAAAGAATATCAATAAAAAAATCTTTATAAAATTTTGTTGTTCGTATGCTAATCTGCCTATTCTATATTACTTTTACTTTTTATCTTTTAAATATTGCGTCTCTTTAGACACTGAAAATAATCGATACATATCTTGAAAACTACACTAATGGTTACTTTTAATCTCTTTTATGAATAATATGTGGAAGCACCACACAAGCAAATCATTAACGTTGACACTGAGTTTTCAAAGAAATGTTTCAGATTTTTTTTTTTTTTTAATTAAAAATATCAATGAAAAAAAATCTTTATAAAAATTTGTCGTTCGTATGCTAATCTGCCTATTCTGTATTACTTTTAATTTTTATCTTTGAAATATTGCGTATAGTGAAGTCTTCAGTGTATGGAAGTGTTCTCTTCGGACACACCCACAAAATGGAAACGGTTTGTGCAATCCTTGTAAAATTATACTTGCATACTCACCTAGGCCTAAATAGACTGCCTACATTTTTTTTGGTAAAATTCCAACTTTAAAGAGTAGCGTGCCGGAAAGTGTTAAGGAGATATTTTCTTTCCTAAATCATCTTAGTAAAAATAGTTATTTACTTTGTAAAGATATTAAGTTATTTCGACGCTAGGAGACGTGAAAAATGTGCAAAGCCCTCGTCGGGACTCGAAACACGGACCTCTCGAATACGCGCCGAGCGTGCTGACCCCTACACCACGAAGGCATGCTAAGAAGGCGGGAGAAATACCTCATAACTTATTTTTTAATTACCGTATATTCCGGAGTATAACGAGTAATCATTTCAATAAAGCGCAATCTTTGTGAAGACACCTGAAAAATAACATATGCATGTATCTTTTGAACATGTGCGTGTATCTTTTGAAACCATTCATTTGAAGATTTTTCCCAGTATTTCGAACAATGGTATAATGATATGATAAGCGATAAGTGGAACAATATGGATGTTGGGGAAAATGCTTGAGGGAGTAAATAATTCTTCAAGGAGGGTGGGTTGTATTTAATGCAGGTGTGCACAAGAGTGTTGTTCTAGCGTTTCGAAAAAAGGGGCAATGTAATTTGGGATACAAATGTACTTCCGACCGGCATGAATTCGAGGAATTATGAGTGAGATGTTTTCTCTTTCTGTAATCATTTGAAGCCGGGATTTTGAGGTGAACAGCGAAAGCTTCAGTAAATTGCATTTGCTTCAGTTGAAATACAGTTGATCTAGTGCTCCTTTTAGTAGTAAATATGGTTGTTGCCAAACGAAACAAACACAGTACTGGTTTCAAATACAATCATTCAGTTTGAGAAAGAAAATGGGAATCGTGCTGCAGCAAGGATGTTTGGTGTTGGTAAAAGCTCCATAGGTGAATGGGAGAAAAATGAAATCAAAATAATTAATATGCCAAAGAATTAAAATGGTTTGCATAAAGCAGTAACGAAGTAGCCTATCCTAGTAGAAAGTGTTGCGAAATGGTTTCTGTTAAATCGCTGTAATTGTTTAAATAGCATTTAGATACACCTCATTTTTCATGCTCATGTTTCCCTCATTTTGAAATCTATTATTTTTATATCCAAAGTGTAACGGGAATCCGTAAATTTCGTTCTTATTTTTTATATTAAAAGTATGTATTGTACACTGCACAAAAGAAAAAAAAAAAAAAAAAGACAGTTTTATATTGACCGATTGACGAAATTCAAATTTTCTTTTTCATGTCTCGATAGCGCGATTTAGGATATTATCTATATTCGCTATATATATATAGATCGCTACATAAACACGAGGGTGTCGGGGAACGGTTACTCGAGCATTATCAAATTTTACTGCAGAAATTGCTTTTCACTCAAACTTGAATTAGCTAAATGCTTAATAGGAGAGTTTTTGGATATCACATTGGTTCATAGTCTCTTCTATTCAGGAATATTTGGCCTAACTTGAATTGCCGGTTTGGCTTCGCCTTAGCTCGAGTAAAGACGAACCCTTCGTATTTATTGCTAATTAGTTCATTGAACGTAGTTTGGTTGTTTCCTTTTGAAAATCGACTATTTCCGATCAATGACAATATTACAGCATTTAATTTAATCTAGCCTTTAATTATATTCCTTTTACAATTGAAATTTTGTTATTCATGATTAATTCCAGTCCCGTTAAAACATTTAACAATTTACATTAAGTCACTTCAAAACATCTTTCAAAATAGAACTTACTAAGTAGGGATTCATTTTTAAGATAATTCTACTGTAATTAAACTTAGGAGATAATATAATCAATATTATTTAGTAAATATATATATATAGCACTGCTCTAATTGAACCTTAAACTAATTGAACCGTAAAATGAACCTTCCTTAAGTACTACTTCTAACTCATGCATTCAACACGATTCTAAAAAGTCTTTCTGGTAGGGAGTTGTAAGGGGAAACAAGAATTGATAGGAAAGCACTTTGAAATTAAAATAACTGTTATAAAATTAAAATATATCTTACAAAAAGAATAATGATTCCAACCAAATATGATAACATCAAGCAAATAATAAGGTATACTGAAGAATCAAAACTTATTTGTGTTAATTTTGCTTGAAACTTCTTTTTCAACGATAGGTAAAGTTCATTGAAATTATTTAACATTTAGAATGTCACAGGCAAATCATTATTTAAGAAAATGCGTAGATAGGCAGGAAACAAACTTACAAAGACTGTTCGCATATTTTTTAAACGATTTTGCTTTGCTATTAAAAAAAATCATATAATTGGAAGATTTCTACCTGCAGCTATGTTTTTGAAAATATAAATTACCTTCTGCTCCCTGAGAATTTTGTTTTAACGCAAAATGGTGCTTTTGGAGAAGCAATGGATAGAAGGTTAAGTTTGTGCCCTCTTCGGAAAAAAATTATTCATATCTCATTATTATTAAAAAAAAATCTGTGAAAGCCATGGTTTTTCGACAAAGTTAGGATAAATAATATTGTCAACAAAAAAAGAAAGAAACGTCAAAGATTGGTCCAAAGACAAAAATTGTTCCAAAGACATATCCAAGGGAAAAAATGAACTACTCGAATGTAAGACCTTTCATCTTAAAATAAAATCCACAAGTCAAAGGACAGCTGCAAAACTATTAAACTGGAAATAAAGTGATGAGTAGTGAATTTAATTTTAAAATGCTCAGTTTCAGCTGGAAATAAAGGGATGAGTAGTGAATTTAATTTTAAAAAGGTTAAAAAAAACATAATGGGCGTTGTCTTTCTCCACGGTACATCGCGAACGCAGAACGCGCTGAAAACTTCTTTATGAGAAATATTTATCCCGACAAAAATGGAAAAGTGTTGTCACAATAAACGAACCTTGGGTGTATTTAAGTGATTGCAATAAAAAGAGATCCATTTATTATCATAAAAGATGAGAAAAGACGTCTTAAAACATGGTTTAAAAAATATAAAGTTTTTCAAAGGGATTTATGATTGTCGCTAGTTTTCAAATAATATCAAATAAATATTAAAGAAAGGGGAAGAAAATAATCAGATTAACTCCATATATTATCAGAACGTATTTTATACCCAGCTTTCAAATATGGACCCCTTTCTGTTTATCCACAGTGTTATCAATCAGTAGAACTGCAATATGACAAAGCAAGCAGCCTCACGTCAAAATCCACTGTTCATTTCCTCAGAAAAAATTAATATCAAGGCCATATCCTTCACTCATATCTCTACTAAATCTCTTGATATGTGAAGTCTTCACCTATGGATTTTTAACCACTTAAAAGTTTCTTTTTTCCATCATATTGTGACAAAAAATAAGCATATTTTTGATAAACATTTTTATGAAGAAATTCATTATATAAACCCAAATCAGCAGTCAGAACTATACAAGTGTTGAATTTATGACTTATGCTATTTTTATTTTCAAGCGTAAAAGCACATTTCCCTTAAATGGGCGTTTTTCGAACAAGTAAGCGAACTGAAAAGAACACTTTACAAAAATAGATGTCAGATTAAAATGTTTTTTGTTATTACATATCTGTCGATTCCAAAGAAGAATTATTAATATCCAGAGAGAAGGATTATAATATAAAGTTCACAAAAAGTTCCGAATTTGCGTTTTAGATATCTATAGTTTTCGTTCTTCATCACTAGAGAAGTCACACAACAAACTGCCATTACTTCCAGAATCATTTGAAATTTCAGATTCATAGTGAAATTTCAGATTCACTATCTGAGTCAATATCAGAGTTATCTTCAGTTATAAGCTGCTCATTATCATTTATTTCTTCTTTTATTTTAGCTCCAAATTTAAAAGAAATAGTATTCGCAGTAGCCGGAACACCGAGCTAGTGAAAAGAATTCCGCGCCTTTGCTTGCGTAAAAGAATCCTAACCTTGAAACCAGTTGTTTTGCAATTCTAACTTTACTGGATTACTAGCGCCATCTGTTAGAAACATTACACACTAAACAAGTAAAAAATTCGAGCAAATCAGTGTATTACACTAGAAAACGCTCGGGCAAATAAAAAAAGTGCCATTTCCATATTAGACTAGAAAAAAAAATGTTGCCAAGTGCCATTTCCAAGTACCTGAACGGTGTTCGGGCTAAACTGGGAAGTGATTAAAAAGCGGATTGTCTAAATGTCGACTTACAAATCTCCTTGGACTTTGGAAAGCTGTTCGAAAGAAATGGCATAGAATACCTCTTCCGATACTAAAAAGGCTTTATTGTCATGAAGATTACCATGCAAAAAGAAAGTGAAGAATAAGGGTTTTCAAACAGAACGTTTAAAACAAAATTATAGATCAAATATTTCTGTAAATGCAATGTAAATCTTCTATAAACGAACAACCTCTGTACTTGACTTGCTCAGAAAAAGAATAAATCTAATATAAGGTCAAAAAAAATTTTAATTATAAAAGAAAATACTTACATGGTTTAATAAAGAAATCTGGATTCTTCGAATTCGAAGTGACGATGGATGTAAATGTCGTATCGCTTTATAAGGAACTACAGTGTTTCACATTGCTCATCGACGTTAATTTATATAACTTGAGGGTGGGAAATCCCAAAGATAAATTTGTGAAATTTCAGAGATAGCAGGTATTCAAGTTGAGTATCTTTGCATAAAAGTCGAGATAAAGTTCGCCGACGAAGTACCTGTTAAGTATTTCGCTTAGACAGAAAAATGTTTCCTGGTAGAGATAACAGACATGCGGAAGTATGTAGCAAAACATTTCCAAACATATGTTACGTGGGATTTACTGCAAAGTTCAAAAGAAAAATTAAAACGAAAGTGACGAAATAAAATACTACTCAAATTTTAAATATCTAAAATAATTGCATGAGAGGCTATTCAGAAATTCAAAAAATCCAAGTAATTGCTTTGTTTCCTCCTTTACAGGTCAGGCACGTTACTGATTTGATAGAAAATGGGCAAAAGCGTTTTTTTGCTTAATTTATGCACACAACTATAAATGTCACATACATTCATATACATGAATTTGGTAATTTCTTTTAAATATACTTGTTCTAGTTTTTCTGTGTTATTTAAAGCAAAGAAAAATTAAAGTCCCACAAATAAATTAAAAATAGGCTTAGCTTTTAGAAAAAAGAACAAGCAATCTGTGTTACTGAATAATTAGACATTCGGTAAATTGGAGTTGCAGGTATCTAGTATCCAAATGACTAGAATTTTTCCGTCCTGCTTTTTGTTAAATTTTGATAAGATAGGTTCCTTTTCCGAACATTTGATATTAAAAAAAAATTACTGCAGTCACAAAAATAATTACAGAATCGTGAATATTTTCCATTTAGTTTTTGTATTATTCTACTAAATTTACAAATTTTTCAGCTTGGAAAAGAAATATTTGAACCGCATACGAAAATAAATTACGTTTATCCTAAATAATTCTATTTATCCTAAACAGAACAATATTTCTACGATAGTTGAAAATTATTTTCAAAATAGTAATAAAATAAATGCAAAATTACTTTTTTTGCACTTTCGTGCAAATTGCTGTTGTCTGATCTATGGAACCTACATCTGTGGATGCCTTTGCAAGCTCCTGTGAATGGAAACCTTCATTAATTTAGAAGTCGAACAACAAAAATCAGCATTATATTTGCAAATTTTCACAGGTCTAGTTTTGATGGTTTTACCAAACCATCAACCTCAGCTGCCAAAGCGCAAATGAATGAGATAAGATATAGTGATTAGATAAGATAAGAATGGCTGGACAGGAGTTAAGCTCCTGGAACCATCTATTGATGAAACAATATCTAAAGGCTGAAGGTAAAGATGGATTGGAATTAGGGTCGTTAACTAGAACAGATAGATTTTTTTTAAATATGAAACGCCTTTAGAAAATCTAATTCACCAATGGACAGGGTCCGTAGCGATCCTTACAAGTGCTTATGAGTCCTTATATTTGAAAATAAAATATAAAGGCCCTTATAGGTGGTGCTTACTTTTTCTTTAAAGCCTTTTTTTTTTTTTTTTTTTTTTTAATGCTTATTTTTTTGCTTTTAGTGCTTTTTTTTTAATCCTTTGTTTTTAATGAACGCGCATTTTTTCCCCGTACCAAAGCCGAAACTAAATAAATAATTTTTCTTCCTTATAATGCAAACGTCAGATGGTGAATCATTATTTCCACAAATAGCTTTTCCCCCTTTCTCTCCATTAACGTAACCTTTGGTATGCGCACGAGAGTACAGACAGGTACACGTCGTTCTATTGTTCAAAGAATTGCGAAAGCGGTAGAAAGTTCCTGTACATTTGCTATTCTTTTCCTGCCACCCAAATGCTCTCTTTATTTCAATTTTATGAAAGATGATGTGAAGGTAATTGCAAAGGTACTCCGTAATCCAAACCCCTTTGTCCCAAATACTACACACGTTTAAATTTCTGTTGAGATTTTAATAATTTGTATTCTCGTTCCGTGCGGTCAGTTTATATTTCTGTTTATTATGAGCATATGTATGAATATTTATAATATACACTCATGTATATTATAAAACTAGACATAAATATAAGGATAATGCCAAAAATGGGTTGTGTTTTTACACAGAATTAGCTTTCTAAGGAATAATATTCGGAATGGCTTAAATAAAATGAAAGTAATCGAATAGTCAAAATAATTTCATTTTCTTTGCCAATACATTATACAGTACGGAGGTTGGGAGTTTCTCCGCAAAATCTCTAATATTGAAGAAGCGGACTTTTTTTTTTTTTGTCCACTGTCCAATCTGGATTGAATAGGACTAAAAGTTTTTGCGGTCTACCCAACCCAAGCGAAGATTGATTCTATTCCGGAAATTTAATACAGTCTGTTGAAAATTAGAATCAGAAACACCCCAGATTAGTAAGTTTCTTTCTTTCTTTCTTTCTTTCTTTTTTTTTTTTTTTTCCTCCCTTTATTTAGTTCTTTATTCTCCGAATACCGGCAGGTGTTGATTTCGATTGCGTAATATCACATATGGAAGAATTATGCCGCACGTATTGCGCAATAACGTTTGCGGTATTTTGCATTGATAATTAATTTTGATGTTCAGTCTGAGATTTGTTTATGAACACTTAAAAGAGTTTTACTGCACTTTCTAAGCAGAATATTTCTCAGTTCCGTTGGTCTATTTTTATATGATGCACATATCGAAACGTCAAAATCATTTATTGGCCGAGAAATCTAAAGAACGGCTACAATCTCCCTCACTCCCTCTTTTCCAGTTACTATCTGGAATATTCGGGAATTTCCGAGAATGCGGGTTAGTTAAGCTTTTACTGTTAAAGGATGACTGCATGAAGCAATTTCCCGTCTTCTGATTTCAGAAATGTGCCTCTTTTTTACTTAAATTACTTTGCTTGGAATATTGTTAAGGGAAAACTGTTATGCAATGAAAATTTAGAAAATGTTCAGAATTTTGATTTAAGTTAAATTATTTAAATATTAATATGAGTGGAAAAATAAATTGTATTTATTATTAGGTGCCAAATGAATACAATTAATATGACTTATTATTATTTATTTTCTATATTTTCAACTGAAATATCATCATTAAATCTTGTAATATAGTTTAGTTCTGCATAGTCTTTTTTTTCTCTCATTGTAAACTAATTCCGTAAATTGAACTGTCATTTAAAATTTAAAAAAAAAAAAAAAAAAAGTTCATTGTTTTCCATTGTTGAGGTAATGCTCATTCTCTTAATAAATATTGCATTGCTCATATTTTAAATTACAAGTCTAATTTTTCTTTTTAGGTTATGCAGTTGTGTATAATGTAATTAGACAGGTGCTTATTTTTTCCTTAAAATGTGCTTGAAAAGTGCTTATAGGTGCTTACTTTTTTAACTAAAATGTGGCTATGAACCCTGAATGGAAGATGTTTTTTGAATAATTTTGGCTACAGAAAAATTGAAAGTGTGAACCTTCTTTAGAAAACCTTCATCTTAAGATGCAAGCTATTTCATGTCATGGATCGTGTCTTCCTTTTCTAATGGCTTACAGAAAAGAAATCCATGTGAACGAGAAAAGTGTGAGAAGTTTATTAAGTAAAGTGACTGTGTTTAACAAGTTCTATCTTTAGTCTTGTGTGCGTCGTCTCTTCTCACCATGTCCAGGCATCGATCAGGGATTATCAAGGGTAAGCTACTTGTGCGAATTACTGTTGCTGTGGTTGTGAAAACACAATTCACCACACAACCAATCATAACCACATAAATATACTACCACGATATCATCAGCCATTGTTTTCTTTATAGCTGAACACAAAAATGTCTGTACTGCAAGAATTGGCCTTCATTACCAAGTATTAACAGGCATTTTGTACAAGCAAGAAAGCATTTTTGTACAAAGCATAAGGATGTTATTCTAACCTTTCTGGAAGCACAGTAAGCATTTTTGTACAGTTCATAATGTCTTTTAATATTGCCAATAATATAGGCGATCTGCATATACCATGATTTCAATTAACTCCACAGTTAAGAATTTCAAAGTCTGAGGATCTGGATGGTGATTTATACTGAAAGTAATGTTTATTTACTGTGCTTTTGACAAAAGATGATACTAAAAGAGAAAAGTGATATGGGTTTGTGTTATATCTTGCGTGAATATCAAAGATCCAGAAAGCACTGAATATCCTAGCTGTGTGAGCAACTGCTACAACCTGTTGATACCACCACTTCCGACGGTGATAACCTGTGGTGTAATGAAAATTCCGTTTTATACTCCAGCACGTTTCATTGAAGCTTGGTATATTCCAGATAAGATAATTCCAGAGGAAGAAAAACACCGGGGTAAGATCTGGGGGTTTCAGAGCCATGGCTGATACATATACTTGTCCACATGACCAACAAGAAGTAGAACGAAGTTTTTTTTTTTTTTTTAATACCCTGCATAAAGTCATGGACGATTCCCTAAATATTTACAGCGTCTTGGATGAATTAAAATCAATGCAAATTTTGCGGCAAATCTGGCGATATAGACCATTTTCTGAGGCATAGCAAGCTTACTAGAAAACTGTTGGAATTTATAAGATCTGTGATATTAATAAATTTAAACTAGAAGAACTTAATAAGGTTGCAACGGAAATTATGAAGGTTATCAATACTAGTAAAGACATCATTGGCATCAATTGTTAGCATTATTTTAGTGTGAGTGTTTATGTGTTGTGTATTTGTGATGTGTAAATATTTGATTTTTCTTTATTATTTTTAATTTCGATTACTAACACTGCATTATTGTACCCTAAGTTTTGACAAATTTGTTGGAAACCCACATTTTTAAAATTCATCTTTGATGAAGCAGTATTCGTGTGTGCTCTGGAAACACATTAGTAAAATACTTCTGATATGTTTAAATCAATGTCACTTTTGACAATATCACAAAACTCTTACAAAAGTAAACTAAGTCCGACACTAGTTTATGAAGCAGTTCCAGTAGATTCTGTGAAGCCAGGTAGTAATGTTTATTGAAACCCATCTGTTTATAATGTTAACTGAAATTAATAAATTTATAAATGTAATGTGATGTTACACGAACATTCTGATCTGATCTAAACTTCAGAATAATTTGATCATCACTTCGAAGTGCTATTGCGTCTATTAACGTTTGAA